AAGAGAGCACACACCACTATTTTTTATATGGAGAGCTGGGAATAACCCCTATAACGGATTTAATTAAACAAAGAATGTTGACATATTGGTCTAAGATAACTTATAATTAACCAACGAAATTGTGTACTGTTATGTATAATGTATTATTTGCAGACTCCTGTAACCATAAATACAGCTGGCTCGAATATGTTAAAAGACTATTCGATGGATTGGGCCTTAGTTTTATACGGACCCAACAATTCATGCCAAATATAAACGGATTAAAATGTGTTATTAAACAACTATCGTTGATCAGATTAGCCAGACGTGGACAAGTTATGTAAACAACTCTCCCAAGGCAGTATTTTACCGAATATTTAAACATAAACTCCAGTTAGAAAATTATCTGCTGTCGCTACCCTGAAGACTCAGTATCCCGATTACTAAAATAAGATAGATTACCAATAGAAAAGGGTTGATGGGAAAATATACCGCGGGAAGACATCAGATATTAGCTGATGAATATCACTATCTACTAATATGTCCTTTTCTGCATAACTTCCGTGAGTTATATCTTCAAAAGAAGTATTTTACAAGACCTAGTGCGATACTACTTGATATGTTACTCAATACTGAAAGTTTATCAGATCAAAGAAAACTAGCACAGTTTGTAAAAGAAATCCTCAAGATGCTTAATTAATTGTATAAGCGTGTTGCAGTTAAACGTAAAGTCTCCTGCCTCGTGTCAACATACATCTCCATTTGTACCTTCAATATGTCACAGCTATGACCTTGAAGCGAAATATACGTTTGTTGCTTGTTATTGTGTTGTTGTTGCCCACGAGTACACAGCCTTGTGTTTTGATGCGAGACGAGTCGGCGAGTAGCTGCATATTTCAACGGCTGCAGAGATAAACTTGCTCAACAATAAATAATTACTGCTTTAAATAAACAAAACAGGATTTATCACATACCTAGATTACCTCAATCTCATAAAATCGGATACAAGTTCTCGCTACCACTGAGGACATCCCATTACAAGTATAGTACAAACCGTAAATAACTTTGAAATCGTTGTCGGATTTTTCGAGAGATTTCTGGACATTAGACACTTAAGCTCTCTCAACTGCCCACGACTGACAGTGAGAGTGTGTGTGTTTGGGGAGAGGCAGTTGCATCAGTAAATATTTCTGTCAGACACACTTTCAGTGGCCTGTCAGTTATGGGTGATAGCAATCTTTACGTGTGTTGTGAATTTCCAGGCAATTATAGCTCTACAGATTTGTTTAGTCTCTGAAAATGAAGAGAGTATTTATTATTAACATATTTAATAACTAATATTTAACAACTGGTTTTATCTGTAAAATATGTTAATTTCAGAGACAAGATGTTCGTCTAAGACATAGCATGTCGTCATTGTTACGGTTTGTGGCTGTTTTAGTTTTGAGGCACACTCACCAAGAAGGGGTGATGACCAACAGTAACACAACCCGAGACACCAACCAATTCCAGATGTAAAATGCAGAGATTGTATAAGAAGATATGAAGATAATATGGAGTAAAAGATATAGCAGAATCGCTGCAAACCCCCCACCCCCACTCCTCACCCCCAACCCCCACCAGAGGGAAGCTATATAGTTTTCATCAGGGGGTATAGAGCGATATAGAGCTACACCTTTTACTTTATTTTATGCCTAAATGGTTCAGGAAAGAGATAATAATATTTTAAACACGTATTTTAATCTATTTCCATGCGAAACATGCGAGGCTCCCAGATGTGCCACTAAGTTTTTTGCCTATTTCCATAGGGACGTTTGCATAGACAACACCCTGTGTTAAAGGGAAGCTATATAGTTTCCGAGACAGGATATAGAGCTACTCCTTTTACTTCATTTTATGCCTAAATGGTTAAGTAAAGGGACTGCCTAAAAGTCGGGCCAAGAAAAGTTGGGCCGGGCCGGGCCAGCGGGTAATACTAAAAATGGATTGCAGAATAATAAAACGAAACGTGCATATCAAATGTCCAGAAACGGATAGTTTTGCTCATTTAATTGAGTTTGAATCAAAATATATCTTCAGCAATGTAATAAACTGATAATTATAGCAACATACCGATTGTTCATACCGAAAAGTCAGTGTCTTGACTGTGTCTTTACTTTGATGAGAAGGTTTCTCACCGACCTTAGCGTGCAGGGGTGTGATGTCCTGGTCAGGAATTGGAAATGACAGTGTTTTGACTACTCTTCTTTCATTAATTAACATGTTTGGCATACCTAATTAACCTTTACTAATTCATGTTAAACCAACACAGAATGTTTTCTGCAAGTAGATATTCGCGAATGTCATAGGACTGACACGACACGTGTTAATAATTGTCAAAGCGCTTCTAAAAATACAACACATACTTTACATCTATAGACTAATTATAATATCATATCTACCTATATAACACTTTAGTGTCTCATATTGCAGTAGAAAACACGGTGCTCAAAAGGGAAGCCCTTTTCCCTCTACATTCTCTCTATCAGAAGTGCTTTGCTTGTGTTGGGTCCGACTTGGTCCGGGCGGTCAAAATCAACTTAAACTTCACAGGATATGTATCCTCAAATGGAATCACATCTTTAGATTAGTATTATATCTACCTAAATACCTCTTTATAGTGTCTCAGATCGCTGTAATTAAAGAAAACAAGGGGCTCAAAGTGAAGCCCTTTTCCCTCTACATTCTCAACATAGTCTCTATCAGAAGTGTTTTGCTTGTGTTGGGTCCGACTTGGCCCGGGCGGTCGAAATCAACTTTAAACACACAGATGTATCTTCAAATAGGTTTACATCTGTAGATTAGTGTTATATCTACCTATATACCACTTTGTAATGTCACGGTACATCGTATTTTAAGAAAACTAGTGGCTCAAAGTGAAGCATTTTTACTGTATTTTCTTAAGAAAATCTATGTCAGAAGTGTTCGGTCCGACTTGGCCCGGGCTGTCAAAATCAACTTAAACCTCACAGATGTATCATCAAATGGAATCACATCTTTAGATTAGTATTATATCCACCTAAATACCTCTTTATAGTGTCTCAGATCGCTGTAATTTAAGAAAACAAGGGGCTCAAAGTGAAGCCCTTTTCCCTCTACATTCTCAACATAGTCTCTATCAGAAGTGTTTTGCTTGTGTTGGGTCCGACTTGGCCCGGTCGGTCAAAATCAACTTTAAACACACAGACGTATCTTCAAATGTGTTTACATCTATAGATTAGTGTTATATCTACCTATATACCACTTTATAATGTCACGGTTCATCGTATTTAAAGAAAACAGGGGGTCTCAAAGTGAATTTTTCTACTGTATTTTCTCAAGAAAATTTATGTCAGAAGTGTTCGGTCCGACTTGGCCCGGGCTGTCTAAATCAACTTAGACCTCACAAATGTATCATCAAATGGATTCGAATCTATAGATTAGTGTTATGTCTACCTATATACCACTTTATTATGTCACGGTACATCGTATTTAAAGAAAACAAGGTGCTCAAAGTCAAGCATTTTTTACTGTATTTTCTTAAGAAAATCTATGTCAGAAGTGTTCGGTCCGACTTGGCCCGGGCTGTCAAAATCAGCTTAAACCTCACAGATGTATCATCAAATGGAATCACATCTTTAGATTAGTATCATATCTACCTAAATACCTCTCTATTGTGTCTCAGATCGCTGTACTTAAAGAAAACAAGGGGCTCAAAGTGAAGCCCTTTTCCCTCTACATTCTCAACATAGTCTCTATCAGAAGTGTTTTGCTTGTGTTGGGTCCGACTTGGCCCGGGCTGTCAAAATCCACTTAAACTTCACAGGTGTATCATCAAATGGATTCACATCTATAGATTAGTATTATATCTACCTAAATACCTCTTTATAGTGTCTCAGGTCGCTGTACTTAAAGAAAACAAGGGGCTCAAAGTGAAGCCCTTTTCCCTCTACATTCTCAACATAGTCTCTATCAGAAGTGTTTTGCTTGTGTTGGGTCCGACTTGGCCCGGGCGGTCAAAATCAACTTTAAACACACAGATGTATCTTCAAATGTGTTTACATCTATAGATTAGTGTTATAACTGCCTACATACCACTTTATAATGTCACAGTTTATCGCATTTAAAGAAAACCATGAGTTCAAAGTGAAGCCCTTTTCCCTTTGGCACTGTATATAAATTTATATTGCGCACTATGTTTCCACAATGTGATGCTTCAACTGTAAATTGTTAATTTTCATTATGCAATATTATGTATAACTGTATATAGGGTGAAGGTGGTAATAAGTGCTGCACTTGTGCCCAATCCCTTGGTCATGTATTATGATCAGGGTCCATTGGCATTCCTTCAGCAAGTGCGAATCAGGTCCTAACACATCAGTTTTGTCATGTACCACGCGCTATACAGTTGAACCTCGCTTATCCGGACAATTTTCTTAAATGTCTGAATACCTTGTTAACTGACCAGAAGTCCTTCCCCTACCTCAATTCTACCGAGGCATATGTGAAATGAATGGCAAAAATATGATTTATGAAGGATCTACCAATTACTAATAAAATACATTGTGCTGTAAAGACTAACACAGCATGCTGTGACAGCGCGCTGCATTATTGAAACGGCTGAAGAAATGCATTTGTAGCCTAGTTTAGACTATAGACTTGTTTTGTGTACAGATACGAGGGCGAGGTTGGGGCAACCTGACACACATGAGCATTAATAGCCATGTTTACCTGTACTAGTTGAGAGCCAAGGTTGAAGTCATTCATGTGTGAAAAATGTTGTCGAGGCATCTGTAAACGGTTAAAGAAATGCAAATGTAGCCTAGTTTAGATTATGCACTTGCTTTGTGTACAGATGTGACGGCGAGGTAAGGGCAACCTGACACACATGAGCATTAAAAGCCATGTTTACCTGTATTTGTACTTGACTGCCAAAAATGCTGTCGAGTCATCTGTACATCTTCTTTGTCGAATTGCATTATTAAAGTACATCAAAATGAGACTTTATATACATTCATATATATTAGTTGAGCACGAAACCTTGAAGTGTAGCCAGGACATTTCCTCGAAACTATGGGCGGCCATGTAGCTTCAATATCTTATAAATTATATCACTGAACATAGGTCAAGGTGTATTCAGTAAACAAAGATCTGAAGGGCTGTATTTCCACCATCAAACACTGTGCGTTCATCACAGTTTGTGACGGATTACGGATACGAACGAACTAGCACTTGTTTGGCAGGTAGGTTTTGTTAAGATTTGTTATCTTGTTCTCTCTCTACCCTCTACTTCCTTAATCACAGTTTAAATCCTAAATAGACTCTCGGGCCCAACACTGTGGCAATTTCAGACCCTCTGTTTCTGTATTTACTTGAGCTCATTTCCCCTAAGGTTTACACATCTCATAAGACATCAATGATGTCAAAGCTGTCTGACATGTTTCTTATGAACAGTTTATGAAGCTAAACAATGTCCAAGTGACTTAAGCACAAAAACACTCCTGACAGAGATTTTCTTAAGAAAATACAGTAAAAATGCTTCACTATGAGCACCTTGTTTTCTTTAAATACGATGTACCGAGACATTATAAAGTGGTAAATAGGTAGATATAACATTAATCTATAGATGTGAATCCATTTGATGATACATCTGTGAAGTTTAAGTGGATTTTGACAGCCCGGGCCAAGTCGGACCCAACACAAGCACAACACTTCTGATACAGACTATGTTGAGAATGTAGAGGGAAAAGGGCTTCTCTTTGAGCACCTTGTTTTCTTTAAGTACAGCGATCTGAGACACTATAAAGTAGTATTTATGTGGATATAATACTAATCTATAGATGTGAATCCATTTGATGATACATCTGTGAGGTTTAAGTTGATTTTGACAGCCCGGGCCAAGTCGGACCGAACACTTCTGACAGAGATTTTCTAAAGAAAATACAGTAAAAATGCTTCACTTTGAGCACCTTGTTTTCTTTAAATACGATGTACCGAGACATTATAAAGTGGTAAATAGGTAGATATAACATTAATCTATAGATGTGAATCCATTTGATGATACATCTGTGAAGTTTAAGTGGATTTTGACAGCTCGGGCCAAGTCGGACCCAAAACAAGCAAAACACTTCTGATACAGACTATGTTGAGAATGTAGAGGGAAAAGGGCTTCACTTTGAGCACCTTGTTTTCTTTAAGTACAGCGATCTGAGACACTATAAAGTGGTATTTATGTGGATATAATACTAATCTATAGATGTGAATCCATTTGATGATACATCTGTGAGGTTTAAGTTGATTTTGACAGCCCGGGCCAAGTCGGACCGAACACTTCTGACAGAGATTTTCTAAAGAAAATACAGTAAAAATGCTTCACTTTGAGCACCCTGTTTTCTTTAAATACGATGTACCGTGACATTATAAAGTGGTAAATAGGTAGATATAACGTTAATCTATAGATGTGAATCCATTTGATGATACATCTGTGAAGTTTAAGTGGATTTTGACAGCCCGGGCTAAGTCGGACCCAACACAAGCAAAACACTTCTGATACAGACTATGTTGAGAATGTAGAGGGAAAAGGGCTTCACTTTGAGCACCTTGTTTTCTTTAAGTACAGCGATCTGAGACACTATAAAGTGGTATTTAGGTGGATATAATACTAATCTATAGATGTGAATCCATTTGATGATACATCTGTGAGGTTTAAGTTGATTTTGACAGCCCGGGCCAAGTCGGACCGAACACTTCTGACAGAGATTTTCTAAAGAAAATACAGTAAAAATGCTTCACTTTGAGCACCCTGTTTTCTTTAAATACGATGTACCGTGACATTATAAAGTGGTATGTAGGTAGATATAACACTAATCTATAGATGTAAACACATTTGAAGATACGTCTGTGTGTTTAAATGTGATTTTGACAGCCCGGGCCAAGTCGGACCCAACACAAGCCAAACACTTCTGATAGAGACTATGTTGAGAATGTAGAGGGAAAAGGGCTTCACTTTGAGCCCCTTGTTTTCTTTAATTACAACGATCTGAGACACTATAAAGTAGTATTTAGGTAGATATAATACTAATCTATAGATGTGGTTCCATTTGATGATACATCTGTGTGTTTAAAGTTGATTTTGACCGCCCGGGCCAAGTCGGACCCAACACAAGACAAACACTTCTGATAGAGACTATGTTGAGAATGTAGAGGGAAAAGGGCTTCACTTTGAGCCCCTTGTTTTCTTTAATTACAACGATCTGAGACACTATAAAGTAGTATTTAGGTAGATATAATACTAATCTATAGATGTGATTCCATTTGATGATACATCTGTGAGGTTTAAGCTGATTTTGACAGCCCTGGCCAAGTCGGACCGAACACTTCTGACAGAGATTTTCTAAAGAAAAAACAGTAAAAATGCTTCACTTTGAGCACCTTGTTTTCTTTAAGTACAACGATCTGAGACACTATAAAGTGGTATTTAGGTAGATAGTATACTAGTTGTTAGATGTGAATCAATTTGATGATACATATGTGAGTTTAAAGTTGATTTTGACAGCCCGGGCAAGGTCGGACCGAAAACCTGTGTGACTGTTGAGAGTATAGGGAGAAGAGGTCTACTTTAACCAACGTGTCTGCTTTAAATACGACGATCAGTGACATTATAAAGTGGTATTTACTTATATATAGAACTTTCCTATAAATATAAACACTATGCGCACAGATGGAACGTTGTATCACGATAGCTAGAAGTATTTGATACGTTTCAAATCTTATTTCGTTTAACGATTGCTCTTTTACATGTTACCTAGATCAGCGACGCTTACACACCGCTCCACTTTCTGGTTTTCAAGCGATTTACTCCGAATTACTTATTTATGGTGCACTTTTTTGTGATTGTTCATTAATGTCATGTGTGTATGTTGCATCAATTATATGTAGGTATGATCGCCGATAATGAAGTAATTAGCCAGTAACACTTTGGCCCGTCTTGGCCCGGCCCGACTTTTAGGCAATGCCTTAAGTAAAGATATAATAATATTTTCAACACGTATTTTAAATCATTTCCATGCGAAAAATGGGAGGCTCCCAGATGTGCCACTAAGTTTTCAGGCTATTTCCATAGGGACGTTTGTATAGACAACCCCCTGTGGTAAAGGGAAGCAATATAGTTTCAAAAAGGGGATATAGAGCGACTGTTTCAAAGTTATTGTATGCCTAAATGGTTCAGGAAAGAGATAATAATATTTCAAACCCGTATTTTAAACTATTTCCATGCGAAAAATGCGAGGCTCCCAGATGTGCCACTAAGTTTTCAGGTTTTTTCCATAGGGACGTTTGTATAGACGACCTTCTGTGGTAAAGGGAAGCTATATAGTTTCCGAGACAAGATATAGAGCTACTCCTTTTACTTCATTTTATGCCGAAATGGTTAAGTAAAGATATAAAAATATTTTCAACACGTATTTTAAACTATTTCCATGCGAAAAATGCGAGGCTCCCAGATGTGCCACTAAGTTTTCAGGCTATTTCGATAGGGACGTTTGTATAGACAACCCCCTGTGGTAAAGGGAAGCAATACAGTTTCCAAAAGTGGATATAGAGCGACTGTTTTAAAGTTATTTTATGACCAAATGGTTCTGGAAAGAGATAATAATATTTTAAACACGTATTTTAATCTATTTCCATGCGAAACATGCGAGGCTCCCAGATGTGCCACTAAGTTTTCCATATTTTTCCAGTTATGACACACATGAGTTCATGGTCAGATCTTTTAACGAATCAAAATGAGGTATTATGACATGTGACAAGGACAGGCAAGGCTCGAACACTATAAAATGATCCCTTTAACATTAGGAGAAGAGAGCGCGGTTTGCAGTCGATCGAGTCGAATCCCGATCGTTCTAAGTTTCCCCCAGCTAGTGACGAGTCTGGCCAGTCTGATCCTGTCCTGTATTGATAGATGGGCTGAGAGTAAGTAAAACTATGTGAGTATAAACTGGTGCTGCGTTTCTTTATTATGCGTTTGTGAATGCTGATAGAGACAACTTGGAGTAAGTGTCGTTAGCCCAATCACTCCTTGACAGAGCCGAGCCGCGGTGAACAAGGCGAGTGGCAATGCCATGGCGTAATTGACCACAAGGACCAGGAACGGCAATACATTTAGTAACTGAAGTAGGGTCGCTCTGGACGCCCGAAAGCAGTTACGACATTACGCTATCCGCATGGATGACCTATTCCTGCACAGATATATCTAGATCGGTGACGCTAAGCCGGTGACCCGTACCCAGATCCGGACATACCAGTGAAACAGGCACTCACTCACTCACTCACAATGTATCAATGTATCAATCTATCAATCTAACAATCAAACAATCAATCAAATTGGAAATCGAGTGACGGATGCTTGACTAATAGTAAGTCTTTGTACGCCATTGTATCGTTGCTAGTGGTACCAGTTACCGGTTGGGGCTAGACGAAGCAAAGAGTTTAATCAGACGTCTCCTTGAGGGAGACTGGTATCACACCTGTGATCCGTGGCGATAAGAAATAAGACATTGCGTACCAGGCCAGCAGTTAGACGTATCAAAGTATAATCGTAAATTCTCCTCGGCGTAATATATATCTTGCATGTGTACGTAAACAGGATGTGTTTGGTAACTTGAGTAGGAAGCACAAGTGCACGAAGGGATGGTATTTCAGATGACAAATGAAAGAAGACAGAAAGATTGTGACCCAAATTTAGTGACTGGTGGCCGTGTCGCACGCACGAATTTTTATTAAATGTATTCTCGAGAGTCAGTAAGAAACAAGAAATAACTGCCTTTGTTCTGTAAATTTCACCAAGTTTCAGCTTTCGCCTCTTCCTTTGTGGAATGAGGTTTCACATTTGTAAAATGATCTCTGTTATCTGTCTGTACCATCAACTTAACTGCCCTCACCCCCTGCAGTTTCCCCGTCCCATATTGCCAAGCAGGTGACCCACAAGGAGGAATACGGCCCTCCCTCAGTCCAGACTCATGAGTTATACTGTGCCTACCACAATAAGTTGTGAATACGTAGCCTTGCTGTGGCCAAACATTTTGTAACAATTTGGCAAAGTTTGATATGTAAACAGCACATAATTCAGTTTTATTTCACCCGTTCCAGATCAGTTGAATCCCACTTGACCTTTGAAGATCCGGTCAAGAATAGATTTACAGCAACCCATGCTTGCCGTTATAGGCGACTATGCTTGTCGTAAGAG